TTTTAGACTGTAAAAATTTAAATTTTCAAATGTAAAGCATTTTACTTTTTGCAACTTACTTTCATAGTAGCAGTAGAACATGGTGATTCCCTGATGCTTTCTGTCCCCAAGCTCATGATATGGCACTTTTCCATAAGTCTGTTTACCACCTTTCTTGATATAGTTGTTTGTGTGGTACTTGATCCATTCAGTTGTTGCTACCATCCATTTGACTTGTTGACAGTCACGTGACCCATGAGGCAGTAGATAAAATGGTTTGGTTATCGGTAACGAGATTGGAATCTTTTTGTCACCACTTGTTTGACAGGCAAAGTACAACTTCATGTATATAAATGATCTTTTAATCTTCTTGATATACACTCGAAATTTAGTTAATTTATATTCGTCTTTGTTGTTGTTTTTCTCGTTATACATAAGAATCGATCCCGGTCTCATGCGATGGAGCTTCTCTTTTTCGTGCCTGTATACACAATATTGTCCTACAACATAACATATAACTATTATAGGAAGAGAAAATGAACTAGGAGAAGGAATCTCTGGTATTCATGCTTGTAGCCATAATAGGAACTGTTTGATGCTATTTTTAGAATCACATTTGCCATCGTTTTTCTGCATTCGCATACTGCGCGCGCTTAACGATGTTTACTCACATTTTATTTAACATAGGAAAACATGACAAAACAAGTTTTAGCATCAAAGATTCTAAAATAAGGATCAAATATATAACAATAGCATCAAAGTTTCAAAAGATAGCATCAAGGAGTGCCCATAACGRGGCACTGGAATTCCTTCTCTTAGATTATTTTCTCTGGATTATACATAAGGTAATGCCGAGGTTGTTATCGTTATCAACATATCGTGAACGAGTATTATGCCCAAGTACGTATCACATTTTGTCGGGGCTTTGAGTGAGAAAAACAAAATGACTCTGTGTTATGAGGTTTAAGTTTTGAATAGGAAGTTCCCTATCCTACAAATAATATTCAACAAAAAGGATTTCTCATTTTTGGCATCCTTTGCAAGCAAAAATAATCTTGATCATGCTTTTGTCTTTTGGGAATGCATGTAACCCATCCATCTTTAGCTGATACTGATACTAGCCTACCGTGGTTTAGGCTATTTCATAATTTTCGCATACGAGAACGTAAATAAGCACTGCTAGTTGCTATATATACCTGATGGCCAAACTTCACCGTCTGTGTTTGTCTTACTGCAAAAATGTCTCTTCACATGACTGCAAGCAACTTTTCCATCGATGTGTAAAGTTTGTGATCTGTTATTACTTGGGTTTTTATCTATTGTGTCTTGGTAAATATATCCCTTGTCATCCCATCCTGCAGGACATCCTGTCCTGGGCTTCAGTAGAGTATATTCACCATAAGGCCATGTTGGCGGTGAGCCTGAGGATAATGGAGGATATATACAAACAAAATTAGATTATTATAACGCATGCGCGACAATCTGAACGGTCAGTCTGAGTAAAGTATATTCACTATAAGGCCATGTTGGGCCTGAGGATAATAGAGGATATATTAAAACAACATGACTGAATTATTCTAGCGCATGCGCGAGTCTTATTCAGTCTGTCACGTAAAAAGAGAAACAGTTTATGGTTTATCAAAACATTGAAGTATCAAGGACTGTTTTTATAGCTGTGTCCACTTAAATAYACTTATTTCAATAAAGTTAGTCAACAAAAGCCTAGAAAGCTGTGATCGCTGAGAATCATGGGAAATATTACATATTCAACAAGTAAAGGTTTCGACACAAACTGCAGTAGTTGAGGATGCTCAAAGGACGTTAACTTGTAACTGGTAGAAGAACTCAAGTCCATCAACAGTTATCAAAGCGGTTGAAACATGTAAAATGTATCTACCCATAATCCTTGTCGGTCTCAGCTTTGTAGCTTTTCAGGTGACTAACTTTATTGAAATAAGTGTATATAGATTTTTAAAAAAACATTTTTAATATTTAGTCATTAATTTTTAGATTTTTAGATATTTATAATATTTTATAATATAATATTATATTATTATATATAATATTTATAATATTTTTAGATATTTATAATACGTTGAGTGTTTATATTATTTATATACAGTTTCCGCTTGACAACTATATATGACGCGGAAATCCCTGATATGTATTAGATTCGATAATACGGGGATGACTTTAACACTCAACATGTCACAAGATCTTACCTTTATTCTCTACTGCTGTGTGTAGAAGAATCACAAAAACGAATGAACACCACGGATACATCGTGTAAGTGGCCAAGAGCACGAGACGGTCACCTCACTTAATATTTCTCTTCGTGTGTAAGAGATGGTTTTGTATCTCAGCAGTAGACTTTCATTCTCTGTTCTACGTTCTACTCGCGCTACGACTGGTTTCGAAACATCCTAACTACCCCTCCCCTACACGGTAGATTCATTTTGTTTGGGGGGAGGGGGAG